CATTTAACATTTGTTTATATCCCTCTAGATTTCAGATCAAATGACAGAGGTAGAGAAGAGCAAGACCATAAAACCCTGAAACACTCACTCCTCATGCCCCTACTTGGAATGTAAACATTCACAGATGGTCCAGGGAGCCCAAACCGATCCAAATTAAGCATGCATCGGTCAGAAAACGGATTCAAATGTTACTAATAGCAGGTTCACTAATGTTTTTTACTTAATGTTTTATTCCCAAAATACCTCTTAGCTGTTGACTGAATTGATACATCCTCTCCTTCAGTTCAGTAGCCTATCAAACTTTGATGCATGTAACTGCATATTACTGTCAGATAACAACTGTGTACACAGTGCGGGAGACACAGCTGCTCGCGCCAATGAGAGGTAGGCCTATCCCTGTTCTAACAGGACACACCTTCAGCATTCAGATACTTGTAAAATGGCTTTCGCAATGTCAAATCATAGGCTTTATTAGTTGAGTGACAACCAATGTAATTTGCTGGGTCATTGTTACCAAATGCGCTGTAGAAAATTGTTTAACCGGAGTTGTGTAGCCTACCGGAGTGGACGCAACTCACATCCAACTGCTGGTTGGGTTTTTCAATCATTCAGATTTTATTTAGATTATTCATGTTCACCATAAGAAATCGTTTTGCTTTAAACAGTGTTTATTTTGTCATTTTTACATGAACAAGGTTATTTCATAAAGTACAGCAATCATTTTTCCGAGCTGCGCATGGTCAGGACATTCATTGGTCAGGGCAGGAGAAACTTTCTGTGAAATTCCAAACGGTCTAAACCATTCACTTTGGAGACTGGGTCAAATCAAAAGCTGCATTATATTAAATAACATACTAATTTCAAAAAAATTTATATTGACATAGTTCTAGCGCAAAACAGTTATCTGCTAAAATTACAAGTTAATCAGTGGGTGATGGTGATTTCAGGTGAAAAAGTGGGGGGAGACAAAAAGCATATATTGCCTCCACCCCTAATCTGATAGTGGGGTGGTAGATGTTCAGTATGCCCTATGGCTCAACTCAGGTGCCTACACACACCATTGCCATTGACACATACACTCACTATCAGAGGGCCACTCAGCTTAGAGAAGTCATCCCATCAGCAACCGATATTAATTTAAAATGAAAGAAAATAATATATTATAATTTTTTGCATCGTAACGAATCAAATCGAATCCACCGAATTGTTTCAAACTAAAAGGTATGGTTCCTGTATCGGACCCCATGTATCTACACTGAACAAAAATGTAAACGCAACATCCAACAATTTCAAAGATTTTACTGAGTTACACTTAATATAAGGAAATCAGTCAATTGAAATACATTCATTAGGCCCTAATCTATGGATTTGACATGACTGGGAATACAGATATGCATCTGTTGGTCACAGATACCTTTTAAAAAAAAGGTAAGGGCACGGATCAGAAAACCACATCTCCTTCGCATAGAGTTGATCAGGCTGTTTCTGACAGTTTGTGCAGAAATTCTTCGGTTGTGCAAACCCACAGTTTCATCAAGAAGCCGGATGCAGAGGTCCTAGGCTGGTGTGGTTACACGTGGTCTGGGGTTGTAAGGCAGGTTGGACGTACTGCCAAATTCTCTAAAACAATGTTGGGAGGCTGCTTATGGTACAGAAATTAACATTAAGTTCTCTGGTAGCAGCTCTGGTTGACATTCCTGCAGTCAGCATGCCAATTGCACGCTCCCTCAAAACCTGACACATCTGTGGATTGTATTGTGTGACAAAACAGCACATTTTAGAGTGGCCTTTTATTGTCCCCAGCAGAAGGTTCACCTGTGTAATGATAATGCTGTTTAATCATATTCTTCATATGCCACACATGTCAGGTGGATGGATTATCTTGGCAAAGGAGAAATTATCACTAACAGGGATGTAAACACATTTGTGCACAAAATATGAGAGAAATATGTTTTTTGTGCGTATGGAAAATGTCTGGGCTCTTTTATTTCAGCTCATGAAACATGGGACCAACCCTTTACATGTTGCTTTTATATATTTGTTCAGTATAGATGCGTATTGAATCGTTCATGAATGGAGATATGCACATCCCGAGGTCCTACTAGTTTCACATACTTTAGTTTAGTTTTTTAAGATAGGCTGGTTGACTTTCTTATTATCATGTTTGTACAAAGGGATTAACTCAGGTTGAACAAATGGCCCTTTTCTGTAAAACATTGAAAAGCACCAACATTTACATTGAAAGACAAGCAGAAATTGTTTCTAAAGGTATCAGTCAGCGGAAGAGACCCTTTTCACTGCTGTGACAAAAGGAGGGTAGGAGGAGGAGCTTTGGGAGGCAAAGATTAAGAGGGTAACCAATAAGGAAGATACCTCCCTCTGCCCCCCCCCTTGGATGAAGGCACTCCTCTTCACTTTACCCCCTCTGGCTGGTGTGTGGCGACTCTGCAGAGCACTGGAGGAGAACGGTGCATGTGGAGTGAATCAGTGGCAGTGGGCAAGTCACAGTTCACTCTGGGAGCCTGATCAACGCTGCTGGTGGAGTACTAGTGGGCAGCAGCAGGATGGATTGCAGGATTGGATTCCAGCTGGGTGTCTCTTTTTTACTGGTACTCTTGGTGGGCCGTAGTGAGGCGTTGTGGTTTTCCTGGGCCAGTACAGACAGCACCACTGAGGTCCCAATGCTGGACAATGAGGAATCTAGGAACCCTGTGGCTAGCGTTGAATCACCAAAGCCGGACAACATTGGAGAAGATGGGGCAGAGATCATTGATGTAGCTAGTCGGATAGGTACGTTTGTTCAAACTTGGGACCAGAATTTGAAGGCCACGGAGACCCACAAGCTGACCACTGTGAGGTCACAAGCCAAGAATGAGCGCCCAATGGAAAAGGGTGCCCGTTGGTCCACGTCGATGGGAAGCGAACCTGGTAATGGCACCTCCTCAGTACAGGGTATGAGATCTGGATCTGGTCTCTGGGGGTGGTCAGGGTTTGGGAGTGGGTCTGGATTTGGATTTGTATCTGGATCAGGATTTGTATCTGGTTCCGAATTCGGATCCGGGTCTGAATATGCCTCAGAAGTTAGTTCTGAATTTGACTCTGGGTCTGAAATCAGACTTAGGTCTGAATTCAGATCCAGGTCTTAAAATTGGTTCTTGGTCTCAATTTGTATCTTGATCTGGGTCTAGCATTGAATCTGAATCAGGAGCCTCTATGGTATTATGGTATTTTGGTATTTTATTAGGATCCCCATTAGCTGTTGCAAAAGCAGCAGCTACTCTTCCAGGGGTCCACACAAAACATGAAACATGATGTAATACATAACATTAATAGACAAGGACAGAACTACATAAAACGTAGCCTACATATCAATACATACACACAAACTGTTTATTTGAACAATATGAGATGGAACGGAGTTCCATGCAATAATGGCTCTATATAATAATGTACGCTTTCTTGAATTTGTTCTGGATTTGGGGACTGTGAAAATACCCCTGGTGGCATGTCTGGTGGGGTAAGTGTGTGTGTCAGAGCTGTGTGTAAGTTGACTATGCAAACAATTTGGGATTTTCAACACATTAATGTTTCTTATCAAAATAAGTGATACAGTCAGTCTCTCCTCAACTCTTAGCCAAGAGAGACTGGCATGCATAGTATTTATATCAGCCCTCTGATTACAATGAAGAGCAAGACGTGCCGCTCTGTTTTGGGCCAGGTGCAGCTTAACTAGGTATTTCCTTGCAGCACTGGACCACACGACTGGACAATAATCAAGATTAGACTAAACTAAACTAGCTTTTTGGATTGTGGTGTCAAAAAAGCAGAGCATCTCTTTATTACGGACAGACCTCTCCCCATCTTTACAACCATTGAATCTATATGTTTTGACCATTTACAATCTAAGGTACCGCCAAGTAATTTAGTCTCCTCAACTTGTTCAACAGCCACACCATTTATTACCAGATTCAGCTGAGGTCTAGAACTTAGGGAATGATTTGTACCAAATACAATGCTCTTAGTTTTAGAGATGTTCAGGACCAGTTTATTAGTGGCCACCCATTCCAAAACAGACTGCAACTCTTTAAGGGTTTCAGTGACTTCATTAGCTGTGGTTGCTGATGGGTGTATAGTTGAATCATCAGCATACATGGACACACATGCTTTGTTTAATGCCAGTGGCAGGTCATTGGTAAAAATAGAAAAGAGTAGAGGGCCTAGAGAGCTGCCCTGTGGTACACCACACTTTACATGTTTGACATTAGAGAAGCTTCCATTAACTTTGAGTTCTATTAGATAGATAGCTCTGAATCCACGATATGACAGAGGTTGAAAAGCCCCATAACACATATGTTTTTTCAACAACAGGTTATGGTCAATAATATCCAACAGTACAGCTCCCACAATCATATTATTATCAATTTCTTTCAACCAATCATCAATCATTTGTGGCAGTGCAGTACATGTTGAGTGCCCTTCCCTATAAGCATGCTGAAAGTCTGTTGTTAATTTGTTTACAGAGAAATAGCATTGTATTTGGTCAAACACAATTTTTTCCAAGAGTTTGCTAAGAGCTGACAGCAAGCTTATAGGTCTACTGTTAGAACCAGGAGGGAAAATGTATTCCTACTGACCTCACAGGTTTAGCAGAGAATGTCAGTGTGGTTGCTGGAACAGTGGACCTTGCAGAAAGTGCTTTGAACAAAGACAACAGAACAGCTGAGGGGCATGCTATGGGTTTCCCCATAGACAGTCAGCCCGTCCCAAGCGTTAATGTCTCTCTTGAGACAACTTGCAGTAGCTATAGAACAATTAACAGTAGCTCTAGTTGGAATGCAAATCATTTTAACTCAACATAATATTCTGGTGAATAAACTGTCTCAGGTGATTTACTAACCTGTTTCGACATCTACCACTCTCTAGTAGCTACTAGTGAGGCTCCCACCCTGGAATTCCCACGTTGGTTGCCCATAGATTCCTGTTTGCCTTTTTGCAAATCCATGGGTGGCGACAGCTTTGCGGTGCCCAACTTTATCAGTCACAGCAGCGTGGAGGACATCCGGGCTGTTCTGGGCATGTTTTTTTTCTGTTTGCTGCTAGTGCCCAGGTGCGGTGAAGGCCCCCCGGGCCTGCCACCACCTCGGCCTTGCCACAGCTTCTGCGAGGTCCTGCGGGACAGCTGCTGGACAGTCCTTGACGATGGCCGACTCCCCCGTGGAGTGCCACTTTCTTCCCGATGAGAACGACAGGTATCAGTGCTTGTCAGTTAGTAACCAGAAAGGTAATCGCTGGTTAAAATGTATCCTCTTTTTGGGAATCCATATTCAACCAGCAAATACCCCCAATCCCATGTGCCGTTTTTATATTTTTTTTGTCACCGAGTTTTGTCACCTCAGTAGTCCTTGGACATTTGTCTTGTGTTTTTTGGGGTCATCTTGACACAGATGTGTGTTTTTAAGTGCATGATGTGAAGGTACAGGTGACTAAGCAGTGTGTTTCCATTTGCCACTCAACCCATTGGCAAAGACAGTGGTGCGAACGTAGACTAAACAAGCATGGCCCTGGTGGTTTCCTGGTGCAGCCTGAACCTGTTGCATGTCAATTAATGTCTTTTGGTTGGCATGTGACTGATAACTAAAATATATAAGAAAGTATAAAACACACACCGTATCAATGATTCATATTCTGCGTAACCTATTGGACAGGAAAGTTTGATTTTCTGGAGAGCTAGAGGTGGCCTCTAAAGATCCTTTAACATACAATAATGTAATTAAGTTAAGGTGCAAGATAAAAAGACTGCTTTTAAGGTAGAGCGTAAAAAGAGTATTGACTTAAATTTCAAAGGGGGAAATGTTTAGGTACACCTAGTTTGAGTTTATTCAATTAAACCTGAGTAATATGCTAAAGGTCGCAGTTTCATTCCATATTATATGATTTGTCCCTCCCAAACGTAAAGGGAGTATTTATAGAGAAGTCATTTGTTTCAAGTGCACTTAAAGGAGGGCGGGACACCCCGAAATGCAGTGTACATTCTATACATTCTCTCTTGGCATGCAATCTTTCCATCAACAAGCTGTCACTTATGTGTATTCATGGCATAAACCATTGGAATATTGATAGCACATTTTACAAGCAGTACTTATGCGTGGTAGTTTTGGAATGAAAACTATTGCACTTTTCTTGTATGAATTGCTTGCCAAAGTTTTGATGTGCATTCGGCTGTCTCTAAATTTTCAAATTAAGCTGTCATGTTACATTGAGCGCATGGGAAGTGATTATTTTGGCTTTTGTGGTTTGGCCCTATACATTCAACCAGGGAAAGGGAAACATTCAATTGAAATGTGTCTTCCGCAGCCAGCAGATGTTGTTGGGTGTTAACTGTCTTGCTTAAGGGCAAAGATGCAGATTTTTCCACCTTGCTGGCTCGGGGATTCGAACCAGTGACCTTTCGTTTACTGGCCCAACGCTCTTAACCGCTAGGCTACCTGCCCACCAGTTGTATGTCGTTCAATGGCCTTGAGCATGATAGGGAAAGAGGAATGGTACTGGTAGATAAAATAGTTTCCCCCGTACAGCATAAACCTTGTTCAGTCTGCATATAAAAGTGGGAACATTGTTTTCAGCAACATACTTGTTTTGGATGCCACTGACTGCACATTACACTTTTTCTTCTGCTAGTTGGATAGAAGTAGGGTCGAGCAATAATGAACCTATGCCATCAGTGTACCAGGATAGTAGTTCATTGTATTGTTAAGTCAGCTCTCAGCCATCACTGATCTCTCTTGCAGCCTCCTATCTCATGATTAGGCTCCACCCTGCTGTTATGGTACAGTGAGAGGGGGTGCTCAGGATTCACTTTTGGCCCGAGCATGTCGTGGAAAAATCTCTAAACCACATATTGAGCTCCAATTTACTTTCTTCTCTTTGCCAGGTAGTAATGTGGAAATGCATATTGTTGTAAAAAAAAAAAAAAAAAGTGAAACGAGTGCATGTTCTTTTGTGCACAACTTTTCAAATACTTCAACAGGCACATTTTTAAAAACGGAAAAACATAACTCTTGCTACAATGTTGGAGAGGAGGTGGTGTTTAAATGAATACGTAATTCAAAAGGAACAAAAGGCACATTCCCCCCCCCCCCCCCCCCCCCCCTATAAAGACCCTATAAATGTGACTATGCTTAGGGGTAAGGCATTCCACTGTTTGCAAGAAGTACAGTGCCTTCAGAAAGTATTCCACATTTTGTTGTTACAGCCTGAATTAAAAATTGATTAAATATATGTTTTCTCACCCACCTACACACAATAGCCCATAATGACAAAGTGAAAACGTTTGTAGAAATGTTTGTAAATGTATACATTAAATACAGAAATCTCATTTAAGTATTCACACCCCTGAGTCAATACATGTTAGAATCACTTTTGGCAGTGATTACAGCTGTGAGTCTTTCTGGGTAAGTCTCTAAGAGCTTTGCACACCTGAATTGTACAATATTTGCACATTATTCTTTCTAACATTCTTCAAGCTCTGTCAAGTTGGTTGTTGATCAATGCTAGCCAGTCAACTGTAATGAGGCCCCTCAGGATCATTCAATGTTGTCTTGGTAAGCAACTCCAGTGTATTATATATTATTTATCTCCCAGTGTCTGTTGGAAAGCAGACTGAACCAGGTTTTCCTCTAGGATTTTGCCTGTGCTTAGCTCTATTCTGTTTCTTTTTATCCTAAAAAACTCCCTAGTCCTTGTCGATGACAAGCATACCCATAACATGATCCAGCCACCACCATGCTTGAAAATATAAAGAGGGGTACTCAGTCCAAATCAAATGTTATTTGCCACATGCGCCGAATACAACAGGTGTAGACCTTACAGTGAAATGCTGACTTACAAGCCCTTAACCAACAATGCAGTTTTAAGAAAAAAAGTGTTAAGTAAGAAATACAGTGAGGGGAAAAAAGTATTTGATCCCCTGCTGATTTTGTACGTTTGCCCACTGACAAAGAAATGATAAGTCTATAATTTTAATGGTAGGTTTATATGAACAGTGAGAGACAGAATAACAACAAAAATATCCTGAAAAACGCATGTCAAAAATTTTATAAATTGATTTGCATTTTAATGAGGGAAATAAGTATTTGACCCCCTCTCAATCAGAAATATTTCTGGCTCCCAGGTGTCTTTTATACAGGTAACGAGCTGAGATTAGGAGCACACTCAAAGAGAGTGCTCCTAATCTCAGCTTGTTACCTGTATAAAAGACACCTATCCACAGAAGCAATCAATCAATCAGATTCCAAACTCTCCACCATGGCCAAGACCAAAGAGCTCTCCAAGGATGTCAGGGACAAGATTGTAGACCTACACAAGGCTGGAATGGGCTACAAGACCATCACCAAGCAGCTTGGTGAGAAGGTGACAACAGTTGGTGCGATTATTCGCAAATGGAAGAAACAAAAGATCTGTCAATCTCCCTCGGCCTGGGGCTTCATGCAAGATCTCACCTCGTGGAGTTGCAATGATCATGAGAACGGTGAGGAATCAGCCCAGAACTACACGGGAGGATCTTGTCAATGATCTCAAGGCAGCTGGGACCATAGTCACCAAGAAATTCGTAACACACTACGCCGTGAAGGACTGAAATCCTGCAGCGCCCGCAAGGTCCCCCTCCTCAAGAAAGCACATATACAGGGCCGTCTGAAGTTTGTCAATGAACATCTGAATGATTCAGAGGAGAACTGGGTGAAAGTGTTGTGGTCAGATGAGACCAAAATGGAGCTCTTTGGCATCAACTCAACTCGCCGTGTTTGGAGGAGGATCAAAGGGATGATGGACGGGGCCATGTACCGTCAAATCTTGGGTGAGAACCTCTTTTCCCTCAGCAGGGCATTGAAAATGGGTCGGAAAATGGATGGGTATTCCAGCATGACAATGACCCAAAACACACGGCGAAGGCAACAAAGGAGTGGCTCAAGAAGAAGCACATTAATGTCCTGGAGTGGCCTAGCCAGTCTCCAGACCTTAATCCCATAGAAAATCTGTGGAGGGAGCTGAAGGTTCGAGTTGCCAAATGTCAGGCTCAAAACCTTAATGACTTGGAGAAAATCTGCAAATAGGAGTGGGACAAAATCCCTCCTGAGATGTGTGCAAACCTGGTGGCCAACTACAAGAAATGTCTGACCTCTGTGATTGCCAAGAAGGGTTTTGCCATCAAGTACTAAGTCATGTTTTGCAGAGGGTTCAAATACTTATTTCCCTCATTAAAATGCAAATCAATTTATTACATTTTTGACATGCATTTTTCTGGATTTTTGTTTTGTTATTCTGTCTCGCTGTTAAAATAAACCTACCATTAAAATTATAGACTGATCATGTCTTTGTAAGTGGGCAAATGTACAAAATCAGCAGGGGATGAAATATGTTTTATTTTTATTTTTATGCTAGAGCAGCATTAAAACAAAATAACAGTAGGGAGGCTATATACAGGGGGTACCGGTACAGAGTCAATGTGCGGGGGCACCGGTTAGTTGAGGTAATTTAGGTAATATGTACATGTGGGTAGAGTTAAAGTGACTATGCATAGATAATGAACAGAGTAGCAGCAGCGTAAAAGAGGGGGTGGGGTTGGGTGGGGGGGAAATGCAAATAGTCCGGGTAGCCATGATTAGCTGTGAAGGAGCCTTATTGCTTGAGATAAGAGTCTCCAGCTTCAGAGATTTTTGCAGTTCCTTCCAGTCATTAGCAGCAGAGAACTGGAAGGAATGGCAGCCAAAGGAGTTATTGGCTTTGGGGATGACCAGTGAGAGATACCTGCTGGAGCGCATACTACGGGTGGGTGTTGCTATGGTGACCAATGAGCTAAGATAAGGCGGGGATTTGCCTAGCAGTGATTTATAGATGACCTGGAGCCAGTGGGTTTGGCAACGAATATGTAGTGAGGGCCAGCCAACGAGAGCGTACAGGTCACAATGGTGGGTAGTATATGGGGCTTTGGTGACAAAACGGATGGCACTGTGATAGACTACATCCAATTTGCTGAGTAGAATGTTGGAGGCTATTTTGTAAATGACATCGCCGAAGTCAAGGATCGGTAGGATAGTCAGTTTTACGAGGGCGTGTTTGGCAGCATGAGTGAAGGAGGCTTTGTTGCGAAATAGGAAGCCAATTCTAGATTTAACTTTGGATTGCAGATGCTTAATTTGAGTCTGGAAGGAGAGTTTACGGTCTAACCAGACACCTAGGTATT